CCACCACCTCCATCTCCACAGGCACCTCCTCCCCTACGTCCTTCATCACCGTCACATCTTCCACATTTTCCACCAGTTTCAGCACCAGTACTTCTATATCAACATCATGTTTCTGTAAAATTGGAAACAACATTTATTCACCTGGTGGGTCCTGGTAATTTTTTCAGTTTCAATTTGTCTTCTCATTTGTAGTATTTAAATTATTGTTGTTTGTATTTATTTTGACTTTTGTTGTTATAATTTCAGCATTAGTTTCTTTCTGTTTTCTATTAATGTGACATACTGATGACTATTACACAGTCTTTCAGTATCTTTCTCCACTTCAGAGCTATTGTGGAAATCCCAGATATAAAAGCCTGATTTTTAGTTTCGAGCAGTGTTTGTTAGTCATGATTAGTTACTGAATAGATATTCTGTAACATATATCATAAATTAAACAACTGATACCCCATCAAATTTTTCATCACCACCTGATAAGGTCCTATATCCTGACCCTTGGCAACAGCTGCACTTTTCCCCATTTCTTCCTATTTTCATGGTTCTGTATGGTGTCATACTGCATTAAACATCCCTTTGCTCAGTTGGTACCAGCCTGTCTGGTTTTATCATTTCATAATTTCTTCTGCAACCCTAGTCTTCTCATTGGCAGGGCAGTGGAGAATGCTGAGGAATTATTAACTTAGTATAAGTACTGCTCAGCAGCAACAGTATTTTCATCCTAAATCTGAAAGACTGAAACATAGCAGTTTATTTGTAAAAAAAATTCTCTACCACACCAGTTTAAACCAGGACACTTCAAAAGGTAATGCGTTGATCAATTTTGAAGAATTTTCATTTTTTCTATTTATTTGACTGTATTTTTTCCCGTTTTTCAGGTGAACTGATTTACAGCACAATGGATAGTGATGGATGTAGATTTTATGCTAGGTGTAGTGAAAAATGTACAGTTGAACGCTACACTGGAGACTGTAATTTTACTACTCCATTAACCACTGCATCTCCTCAGACGCCTACCATAATAACAACACATCCAATTCTTCCTCCGGGTTGTGTTTCTGGTACTCACCCTCCCCTACAGGTACATTGATTCCATGTTATGATTTTTTAAATAACATCAGTGTTAGTTTTATACCAGAAAGGTGTAAGAAAGAAACAGTTGCCAATCTTATATATTTTGGTTGTCAGAATAACTCTTATTACCAGTCAATATATGGCATAAAATTTCTATGCATCTTTTTCCCTTTTTTTTCCTTTTTTTTTTTTTTTTTTTGTAAACTAAGAAAGAAAAGTACAATAATTTTTTGTTATCATTTTGCAGCTAGTTAAACATGCTTTTTAATGCACAGCATAGTATACGTAACAAACCTTCTCAATGAAATAAAAAAGCACGTTTTCTATTGCTTTTTGATTCTTCACTGAGCAGAAAAATCAAAGCTAGTATAGAGGGTTACATCTCATAACAATATTAGTAAAATTCATACCTGTCTGCAAATTTCTGTGACAGCAATTTTTGTTCATTTTGCAGCCTGGCCAGAGATTCAAATTATCCAACTGTACAGAACTCATCTGTGAGGGAAACAACAAAGTTATAGTAAACCAAACAGTATGTCCACCTATAAAGGAAATTACCTGTGCAAACAAATATCCAGCAGTATTGGTACCTGATGAAAATGGATGCTGTTACCACTATGAGTGTCAATGTAAGTGTAGATTAAGGACTTAAATTTTCAAAAATAAGCAAAAGTTTGCACAGAATATAAGGGAATTATGTTTTCCCAAGGTTGCATTTGAAACTGTAGTATGTTCGTCTATATTTACTTTCATGTTAACACAAATATTTTCTCTATGCTAGGTGTCTGCAGTGGATGGGGTGACCCTCATTATATTACTTTCGATGGAACCTACTATACTTTCCTTGAAAATTGCACTTATGTTCTGGTGAAACAGATTGTGCCTAAATATGACAACTTCCGTGTTCACATTGAGAATTACTACTGTGATTCAAAAGATGGACTTTCCTGTCCTAAATCCATTATTATTTTCTACAAATCTGCAACAGTGAAGCTGACCCGTGAACTCCTGAATGGTGTGATGACAAATGTGGTAAAATAAATTTATTTTTACTTCTCTGTTACTGAAAAAGAGAAATAAGGTCCACAGGCCTTACAGTTTCTCACTTGAAATACAGTTTGTTAGAATATCAGATTATAAAGGTGAGAATTGTATGTAGTTACAACAATAGAAACAGGAGTTGGATATGATGCACAACAATACCAAGTTACGCATGATTACGAAGATTAGAAAATACATTATCATTTAATACATTAAAACAATCAGACAGAAGCAGAAGTTTATTCTGAAGTTGTGTTTTGTTTTTTTGTTTTTTTGTTTTTTGTTTTTTAAACTCTGCATTCAGATGTACTTCAACAATAAGATTGTCCAACCAGGCTTTCACAAAGATGGCATTTATTTCTCCACACTTGGAATCAATATGATTGTAGAAATACCAGAAATTGGCGCAACCATCACCTTCAGTGGGCTGATCTTTTCTGTGAAACTCCCATACAGCAAATTTGGCAACAATACTGAAGGACAATGTGGTAAGACAGATGTACTAATCATATTTTGCCCATCCTCCATAGCTATAGTTACCCACTTTGGCTATGCAAGATCATGATAGGCATATACATTTTGAAGTGTTTTCTGATGTCAGATTTGGGTTTTGGATTTTGACTGCTTTTTTCCTAAACTAAATTAAAACTCATTCGACTGTAAAGAATCCTTGTGAAGTAGAGAATTTCATGAGCACATCACATCTAAACTTAGTATCAGCACACTAATGTACTGTGCATCACACAGTGATGTGGCATATGAAGCTAACATACCTTGTCTCTGTTATCTTCCAGGAACATGTACAAATAACAAAAGAGATGAATGTCGCTTGCCAAGTGGTAAGATCATTTCTTCCTGTCCCCAAATGGCTCATCACTGGCTTGTTGGTAATGACACATCATGCACTGGAGTACCACCACCATCAATAGTAACCACACCTCCTGCAAGGCCACAGTGTCATGTTCCTGAACTCTGCAAGCTTATCATAAGCAAGTAAGAAAAAAAACAAACAACCAAAACTGACTTGCTCTTTCTATACAGAAATGTTTCAGTATTTTATGAAATGGTATGAACTACAGTCCTATCATGGGATCATTGCTGAAAACATCAACCTAATATAAGGATATATACAATAAAAGGCCTTTGATAAAGAAACTGCTTTTCTTTAAGGACTTGCACTGCAAAGATAGCTGAGCAAGAATTAGAAAATGAAGGACCCAGCAAGCACTAAAGTCCATACACCCTGGATTGTTACCACATACATTTCTGTTATCTTTTTCCCTCCCTGCTTTCTAGGGTATGCTTACTCATTCTTAGTCACGCTATTAAAAGAAAGATGAAAATTTACATGTGAAGTGGTCCCTTAGTCCTGAAGGGAAAGAATTTGGTTACCAACCAGAAAAACAGAACAGACATAAATGTCTTAGCCAAAGTGTCTTCGCTCTTTGCACATTTTATGTAAAATTAAATTATGGAATTTAAAAAAAAAAAAGCAGCATCATCAAAGGCTGTTTTTTATACTTGTGTGAACTCTAGCAAAAGTTTTTTTTCAGCTGTGTCATTCATACAGACCCTCATCTGCATGCTTCTGTAATGTCTAATAAGTTGCAAGCTATTCTATCCGATTTTTCTGTTCCTTGAGTACTTACAGCATTCTTTTTCCATCTATCTGATGCAATTGCCTTCTTCAAGAAATTTCAAGTGTCAGACTGATAAAACATTGTGTACACTTACATAAATATTATACCCACAAGCCTCTTTAGAAAAGAATAGAGCTTCAATTTCCTAGTCTTTCCATTCCTGAATCTATCTCCCACAGTAGTGGCCATTCATATGGTTAACTCTCTTTCTCATAATACATTCCTTTTGAAGCAGAGAGTAACATGCCATTAACTGGGAAAATGCCACGTGCGATCAGATTTTATATAATAACCAGTTTCTTCTGGTTTCTTTTCTGTCTGTAGAGTTTTTGCAGAATGCCATGACGTGATACCTCCAGAACCATTTTACAAAGGATGTGTTTTTGATGGATGTCGCATAACTGATGAATCCATGCAGTGTTCCAGTTTGGAGATATATGCTACAGAGTGTGCTGCAAGAGGTATCTGCATTGACTGGAGAGGAAAGACAAACAATACATGCCGTAAGTATTGCAGGACTCAAAAATGTACGAGTAAACCAGTAGTAGTTAGGATTTTATTGAGCAAGTATATGTTGCATCTTACATTTGACTATAGCATTTTACCTACAAAAATACAGAAATGTCCTTACTGTCAGAAACCCCTGATGTAGACAGTAAAGATAAAGTCACTTTTCTTTATATCTAGTAGATATATCACAATATCTACTATCAGTTTTTGATCATTTTTCATCTTTTGTCATACAGCATACAACTGTCCAGCAAACATGGTATACAAGCCATGTGAGTCCATTAATTCTGCTACCTGCAGCCAAAGGTATGGAAAGACCAAACAAATGTTTATCTTTTTTTTTCCTTCTGTTTTTAACTACTTTCCTTACAAAATATAACTATTTCATAATTAAATCTCATGAATTTTCATTGTTTATTCAAAATTCATAGATATCAGTCATTGCTATAAATATGTACTTCCAGTTCCATTCAGCAAAATGCAAATTCATTCGTCTCCCTTGTATCTGACACAACGACCTTCTTTACACACCTCTCTCCAGCTTCACTGCAAAAACATGGCACTCAAAAACACATACATATATATATGTTCCTCTCACTCCAGCTTTGTTGACCGTCCTGGCTATGGAGTAACTGAAGGTTGTTTCTGTCCTGAAGGAAAGACACTCTTGAGTGAAGACAGCAACATTTGTGTCTCTGAATGCTGTAAGTATTCTATAACCGGTTTGGGGAATGGAGATCTGGATTGTTAAAGAGGAGACCCGATTAACAATGGCAGGAGACTTGTCATCTTTTACATAGTCAGATCATGGGCAGATCAACTTTTTTAGGCTCCTTTAGTCTCTAAAAACGTAATAATAAAAAACAATAGTTTTTCCCCATCTTCCTTACTTACATAAGACTAGGCAAAATGGAAGAAATCTATCATTTCATATGAACTAGTCTGGCTAGATTTATGTTCATGGTGTTTTTATTTCAAACTGCACAAACTTACTCCTTCTGTCAGTAGTCAGTGGTATAAATCCCCATTATTTTTATTCTTTTTTCAGCTTGTAGAGAGCCAAATGGAGTATTCAGATGGGTGAGTATCGCTATCAAAATTACATCAATGTAATTTATCAAATACAAGCAGCTGAAGCAAGAGGACATTTGTTGTTTGGTGTTGCACAAGAGCAAACCAACATCCTCAGAACCTTCAGTGGTCTCTAGCATCTTCTCCTAATTTGTTTCACTTTAAGGGTTTCTTAACAAATCTAAAAATACTAGGACCACGAAAAGGTTGATGTAATTAGCTAGTTAGCAATAACTGTATTTATGAATAAAACATTTAGAAGTTAAAAAAAATTGTTTATTTTATTTATTTTTCATTTTCTTTTTGTATAGCCAGGAGAAAAATGGACAAAAAATTGCCAGGAATGTGTCTGTGACAGATCTACTCTCAGAGTGCATTGTACAAAATATGAATGTCCTCTGCCACAGCAAGTATCTTGTTCTGAACCAGGATACATGCCTGTTCAGACACAGATACCAGAAGATCCATGCTGTACCAGGACTGAGTGCTGTAAGTACTGTCTCAGTTCTTTATTGTGAGTAATGTACTATACTTGTTTTGGGGATCTACAGCAGTAATTTCTCTTGTTTGTGTTTTTTTTTTTTTTTAATATATAGTTTACATTGATCTTGTAACTTTTCTCCCTCATACAGCTTTTTAAAGCCTTGCTGCAAAGCATCTACTAGGTTCTTGAAAAGAACAAATTTAAAGATGAATCAATTTTACACTCATAGACAAAGGAAAGTAGCTGTAAATTTGTAATTTAATGTTTGAAAGGAAAAAAAAGAAAACCTGTAGCACTGCCACCACCTGAAACAACAATCAAAAGCTATTCAGTATCTCTTATTTCTCAAAGACCAGCATAAATATTTTATCTAATCTTAATACATCTCTTGAACTTTTAAGAATTGTTCAAGAGACTGTCTGAAACTCAGAGAGCCATCAGATTTTCTGATTATTTTATCTTTGGAAATATGTCTTTTCAAGCAATCATCACTCTATTCTTCTCAGCCAGTGCTTTGCTTTGCAAAGGTTAGAAAAGCTCTTTCACTTTAAAATTAGACGGGCAAATATACTGAAATAGCTATTAAACTAACTTGTTTTTACTTAAAACATTGTATTTGCCTCACTGGAAAACTTCTGAAGTTCATGCCAAACAAAATTTAAAAATTCATAATTTGCTGTCTTCTTTTACATTACACAGACTGCAATACGAGCCTCTGCCCTGAGGTCACACAACAATGCTTAGAGGGACAGGAAGTAATTACAGTAACACAGCCTGGAAAATGCTGCCCTACCTTTGAATGCAGTAAGTGCCATGCAACTTTTTCAACATGCTAGTCAGAGCTATGAATACAAAATCCTTAAAAGAAAAAGATGTAATTAATCAACATTGTCACATTGGGCCAAAAAAGTAGGAGTTTCTTCACATACTTCAGCTTCTTAAATTTTATACCTTGGTGACACTATCTTTCTTCCTTCTTTCCAGGACATGGCTGTGTAGTCAATGAAACCTACTATGCGGTAAGTACACAGAGTAACTCACTATAAAAATACAACTTCACATAGGTTCACAATGAAACGTTTTTGAGACTCCTATTATAGATGCCGTTTTGCGAAAAGGACCAAGATACTAATTGAGGTCAGCATATCAGCACCTTTTCTTATATGCAACAGTACTATCTGCTCACCTGTAACATTAGCATAATTTCCTTTCAAAATGAGAAGCAGCATGGACATAACCAACAATAGAAACTCTGCTTAAACAACCAAAATTGAATTTAAGGATAGTTTAGCTGATAGATAGTTCAGCCTTGAATTGTCTGTTAGGTACATACTCACAGTAACTTGCTATTACTAATACCGATTTTTCTTCTGTCTTTCCCTAGCCTGGAACTGTGATTCCATCAGGCCCCTGTGAAAGCTGCAGCTGCTCCATATCCTCTTATTCAAGCCATCAGAAGTTTGCTGTCAAGTGCCAGCCTGTTACCTGTGACACCTACTGTCCAGTGGTGAGTGCTTCTTTATGGTCAGTAATGCCTACCTTGCTCAGTTCAAACATCTGCCACTTAATCTCAGTGTCCTGGCTCAACAATATTCCCTCTCTGTTTCTTTCAAAATAGGGTTACAAGTATACAGAGGAACCTGGAAAGTGCTGTGGCACATGCAAGGCTGAAGCCTGCATAGTGGTCATGGAAGACAACACTACACACGTGCTTAAGGTAACTAGCCCTGCTGCAGCTCACCTTTGGTGAACTCTGTTTGCCTTTTAACTCTTTCCTTTCCTTGCCTCTATCACATTTACTTGCAGTGTCTTTTCACATATTACAATACTGCTTATTCAGATGAGGAAGGACTGACTCACATAGCTTGAACAGAACCTTGAGCCATGAGGCTAACTGAAGCTTCTGGAAACAACTGTGATATTGAACAATGGCTTTCAGAGGTCTAAATAGAAAAATATGTGAAAGCAATGCCATCTTATTTGCCTTCAGCAAGAAAACATAGCACCAATTTTGCTCAGTTTTGTCTTTCTATGTATGGAGGCAGCTTCTGCACCGAATATCCAATCTCAAGTTAGCTGGGAGCTCAAGAACAGGATGCGTTGGTGAAAACACCTGGAATTCTGCCATGTACCTGAACAGGACTAGGGCACATCATAAATTCTGACAACAAAACCACTGAAACACAAGTCAGCCTTCACTTAAGCCATGCACACAAAAACCATGACCATAGCCACCTAAAATCACATCCCCTTCACTTGGTTAATGAAAAAGGTCAATGAGCAACTACCAGCTGCCATTCAAGGACATTATTCAGAATAAGCATACTGCAGTGCACAGCAATGATGAACACCAGTTGTGTGTTCTCACTTTCAGGCAAGATGCCTTTTATTCACCTTTGTTTAATTTAACTACTTTCAGGTTGGAAAATTCTGGAGCCCACCTGGTAATAACTGTACAACTTACACATGTGAAAAATACAATGGCCAGTTCATTACAGTCATATCAAAGAAAAGCTGTCCCGCCTTCAACCCGGATCTCTGTGAACCTGTAAGTACTTGTCTACCAGCTCTCATGTTTGTTTGAAAAGATTGCAGTGATTAGCACCAGCGATAGCAACATCATGGTATCCTAGAAAAATACCTACAAGGAGCATCACATGGGATGTAACTCCGATTTTATCCTCTCTGAAACTGTACCCCATCAAATTTCACTTTAAAAAAACAAATGAAAATTTAAAATGGCAATATATCCTCACTGAGGAAATAAGATAGCAAAGGATACTAGGGAGAAGGGAAAAACATAATGCTTTGCATTCCTAAAAGTACCAGGTGTCTAGGAGCAAGAATATTACCAGAAAACAATGGGATTTTTATTCCTAAATTATTTAGGCTTATAATTCCATTTTTGGAAACCAATCATTAAGAGCAAAGGTGAAGGAAAACAAACTACTTCAGTTTACTTAATACACCTCAGGAAAGATAAAAACCAATCCCAGATATCTATACTGTCAATAGTTCATTAACTGTTTTACACTGTCTGACATAACCCTTAATCTACACTGATTTTTTGTACCTCAAAATATCCCAGTGTGCACTGCAAGCTTTATTTCTGAATTTTTACTACTGAATTCCAACAATAACAAAGCAATTCCAGTCCCTTCAATGTACGCTTCCAAAGAAGTTTTATTAAGTACTGAAGTAGTAGTTACGTGCCTTTAATATTTAGATCTGCTTGAAATTAGATTCCATGCCAAAACAAAGAACTTTCTGGCACCAGAGAACCCTACAAACCAAGTTTTTATCATGCATATATGAAACCTGAGTCATCTTTTTTTTTTTTTTTTTTTTCCCACTCCAGGACAGCATCAGGCTATCAGATGATGGCTGCTGTAGTGTGTGCTCAATCCCACCATCAGGTAAGTGATAGTAATTTGGGGTAAAAGCACAATATGTGCCTTGTTAGCTGTATTAGTCCAACTTGCATGGCAGGAGCAAGGACAGAAGAGGTGAAAAGCCCAAATCTGGTACCAGTGTTTCCATACCACCTGGTCTGAAACAGAACATTTAGAACCACCAGGTGGTATAGAAACAGAACATTTAGGGTCTTTGAAAATACAGATATGGTGAACTTTCCCATCCTGTACTGTTCAATATTAGCCTTTTAGTGAAATAGAGGACTACACCTATTCTCCAACTTCTACAAACACATTCTCTTTAAGGATGAAAGTGAAGCTGGTCCTGGGAGATGGGTGTGCACTGAACAGTTGCCATGGCACTGCTCTATATTTCTGCATCCTGCACCAATGCAGCATAAAGGGAATTTTCCACCCAGTGTTAAGACAAGTAGCACAACCTATCATTTAGCCATAAGCGATTAAAACAGAAATGCACTGTGACATAACTTCCTATTTCAGCTCCACGCATCTTAGTTTTCAGCTAAGGATTGTCTATCATATACAAGTATCTGTCTATATATGCATATATTTTAACCTATCTATCTATATATGCATATATTTTAACTATTTTCTCTTGGTTTGTGGCAACATCAGGTTGCAAGAAGCATAACACCACTACTGTCATCAAATACCAAGGATGTGTTTCTGCACCTGTTGAGATGACATACTGTGAAGGCAGCTGTGATGCTTACTCAAGGTAAGTGGTGTAAAAGATGACTGTAATCTCCTGTCTTCTATTTGTTATTATAACAGCAGAAAAAAACACATTGCTAGTGATTTTCTACAATGTCTAACATTCACCAAGCCATCAACTGTTCCCATTACATTAACCAGAATTTTTAACAGACATGGTGCTACATTAGCTTAATTATCTCAAAACTAACCAGATCTTAATAGACTATTAAGTGACTGGTCCCGAGTTTTGATCTTGCCTCTATAAAAGTGAGGTTATTTGTTTCATACCAGTCTCTCATTTTGGACTGGCTTGATTTGTTATCTGGATTAGTTTTTTTTCGCTTTTCTTTTGTCTTAATGAATTACAGAATTATAGAATGGTTTGAGTTGAAAGAAACCTTTAAAATAATCCAGTTCCAAACCCCCTCCCACGAGAAGGGATGTCTTCCACTAGATCAGAATGAAAAGCTAGGTTTACCCATTTTTACAATGAAGAACAAATTCTGTGTCACCAAACCACTGGAAGAATGGTAATATTAAGACATATCTCCATACACAACTTCTACTTATATTTAAAAATGTGTGAGAGGGCAGCAATATTTCTCACATAATTTCTGAATCTCTCTCTTTTGTTGGTTTTGCAAACAGGTACTCTCAAGAAGCAAACATGATGGAACATAAATGCTCATGTTGCCAGGAAATCCAGACTAGTGTAAGAAAGGTGACTTTGACATGCAGTGATGGAACCTATCTTGATCACTCATACACCTATGTGGACCAATGCAGCTGTGTTGGTGCTGAGTGTGTTCCACAAGACATTGCCAACCAACAACAGCAAACAGGCAAAATATGAGATAAAGAAGAAAAAGGGAACGCAAGAAAAAGGGAACGTCTAAAATTAAAACTAAAGAGAAGCCAAATGAGTTGAACATAGATGAAAACACATTTGAAAGAAAGTGTCAAAAGCAGCTACAATTTTTTACGAACAGATTATATTTTCTGCATACAAGCTCAATACATCTGTGTACACTATGTCAGTTTTCCTTACCATTGTGTCTCATACTGTTTTTCATGACTTTTCTTTACACCTTGAGAGGTACAGTATAAGATCATATACTGTATACAAAACATATACAAAATTTTCATATTTCTTGTTAGTTTGTTTGTCTTATGAGAAGTGCTAAACCATAAGATTTAGACCACACAAAGTCTTTTATTAGAATGACATTGTTTTCAAGGCTTTCCTTTCATGGCACAATATAAACTGCACTGGTGCAGAATAAATATTACTCTGCAGGAAATCAAGTTTTGCTGGTCATTACATTCGACAACTACTTGACATTATCTGAGATTTCCTTTGATACACTGAACTATTACGGAACATTTCAATTTCAGTTCACTGAGACAGATCAAAAGCTAAAGTCCAAGAAAAAGAAAACTGTACCTCTGTTTTACTTTCTGTTTTGCATTATGGAAAACTTAGATTGCAAAAAGCCATATCTTCTCAAAGCTATAAAATTCAATGTTATAAACAATTTTTAGGGCATTTCCCTATCTATTCTCATGAGAAAGAAAAGAAAGAAAACAAAAGAAGAAAGAAGAAAGAGAGGGAGAAAGATACTATAATGATAAGCTGCTGCATACTACTCTTTGTTTACATAACATCATCAGCATAGAAACTGTATGAAAATTTGGAATTTTTTTTTCCTTTGTGGTTAACTGTTTACAGAAGAAATATATATATATATATATTGCCAATGGGGCATATGAAGGACTTTTGTAAACAAAAGTAATAATAATAATAATATTATATGTAAATTCTTTCCTAGAAAGCTTTTAAAAAGTTGTACTATTGCTATTTATTTTGTTTTTTTGGAGAACTGATTTATTGGGCCATTCCTTTCAGAATTAACATTACCCCATTTTTTAGTCTTAGTCATATTATCTGGGTGTGGTGTATTTTCTTCTTCCATTTTGTTTTGGAATATTGTTTTATTTTTGTTCTTTATGAAAAAAAGTAATGATGATTAATAAATTGTAAGCATTTTACAGCATGTCTCCTCAGTCTTTTCTCTGAAACACTCCCTGCTGGCCCTATAAAATATTTGCTTCCGCTCTACCACAGTTGTGTTTGAATAGCTCTACAGAATCACAGAATGGTTGAAGTGGGAAAGGACTTCTGGGTCCATCTAGTCCAACCCCCTGCTTGAGCAGGGACATCCAGAACTATGTCCACGTGGCTTTTGAAGATCTCCAAAGAAGGAGAAGTCACAACCTCTCGGGGCAATGTGTGTTTAGGCACTTGCACAGCACAGAAATATCTCCCACTAGAGGGAATCTCTTGTGTTCCAGTTTGTGCCCATTTCCTCTTGTTCTGGTACTGGGCATCACTGAAAATAGCCTAGCTACATTTTCTTTGCAACTTCCATTCAGGTATTTACGGACATTAGTGAGATCCCTTTGAGCCTCATCTTCTCCAGGCTGAATAGTCACAACTCTCTCATCTTCTCCTCATAGGAGAGCTGCTCCAGGCCCTTCAGCATCTTGGTGGCCCTGTGTTGCACTATTTCAAGAATGTCCAGGTCTCTCCTGTAGCAGAGGGCTCAGAACTGGACACAACATTCAGTGTGGCCTCACCAAGGCAGAATTGAGGGATAACCTCTCTTGACTTGTTGGCAATACATTGCCTAATGCAGCTAAGAATATCAGCTGCCTTCAATAAAGGCACATTGCTGACTCATTTTCAACTTGGTACCTACATCCTTTACTTCAGAGCTGCTTTTCAGTTGAGTGGCTAGCTCCTGGTGCCTGGGGTTTTTCATCCCAAGGTGCAGGATTCTGAAAGTGTTCCAAGTATATCCCTTTTGATGCCATCAGTAAGTGAGATTTCAGTAAGCAACAACATTTTGGGTCCGTATATACTTTATAAATCTACACGTTCTTTACCTGACTGACAAACTATTCAAAAACCCCTAAGCCAGTTAGTTTCATATCTTAATGCCTACAGAAACATACATGAATCTCAAACAAACCTGAAATTGCACTGTTGCAAATCAACAAATTCTAAGTTACCATGCAGCTTTACTTTGAACTAGCTACCACAGATTTGAGTGTAGTTTGTGTATTGACAATTTTTTACACAGTTCACAAATGACTAAATGACTTCCTGGGCCAGTAGGGGCAGTAGCAAATAAATAAATAATAATAATAATAATAATAATAATGAGCTTTGCAGTTTGGACAACTCGGTAACAGTTGTTTCTGACTTGTAACATTTGGGTAACAATGTAGGCTTCCTGCAGACGCAGATGCCTGATAAGACTGCTTTTCTCATCTTTTAAAGAACAGGATCAACTTATATACCTCCCAGTCAGAAGTGAGCATTTATTTGTCCCAGAGGATCACTGGTAACTTCTTACCTCCTGCTGGCAAAAATCTGCCTTAAGTCCTTCCAGCTTTCTACTGACAAATTGTCACTTCACTTCCTGCTTTTTGGCTTTTCAGAAAACTTCCTCTTCCCAGTTCTTGGACTTTTCTGCTTCACAGTGAGGCTCAGGAGGTTTACTGCACATACTCCTCCTTTCCTCTAAATCCATTAAGCTTCCCTATGCAGCACTACTCAAGAATTTGTGACCAATTTGGTGAGTGACAAATTCTCTGAACTTTCCTCCCAGGTAAACTGGGAAATCATTTTTCTCCTGCTCATTCTGCAGAAGGGAAAAGCGAATGTCCATCTAGTATAAAAATTTTAAAAATAGAAAAAGAAGCAAAGGAAGGGACAGACCCTGGTCCTGGCATGAAGAAGCAAGGAGGCAAGGATACAAGGAGAGGAACCCTAAGCAAAGGTAAACCACGGAGGCATGCAGAATCTGTTCTAGTGTGGCTGAGGACACACTAGAATCCCTGCCCTGAAGAAAGAAGGAACAATCTCACATATACAGTTCCAGTGGTGAGAAAGATAAAATGGGGACTATCAACTAAGGAGAAGGAGAACAGAGGTCACAACATGCTTTGTGCATGAAAGAGCAACTAGAAGCACTTACAGGAACTCCCAGATCAGCATTAAACGATACATAGAGTAGATGAAAAATTAGGTGCCACTAGTATTATAGGCTCCCTAAATTTTCCTTTGCATAAGAGCTATCTTTGTTCAGGGATACTACTGACACAGATTGGGTAATAGCTCCAAAGTAAATAAATAACTCCTTTCTAAAAACTGGGATGAATGAGATCAGTTGCTTTCTCATAAATAAATATTAAAGTCAATAAAAAATTAGGCGATTGGCTTAGTAGCCCTTTACTGACACAGGTCAGAATAATGTGCAGTTCACAGTGATCTACATTACTGCGAACAATAATATGCATTATACAAACACTAACACTAGAGGGCTCTAGGCTCACAATTTACAAAGACTAAGGGAAGAAGTGCTCATTCCACAGGGTTTCTTTGAATGCACTTTGAAGTAAGCAAGGTAACAACTATTGCCTTGGTTTCCAGTCATTATGATAAACTTTGCTCTTTATTATTTCATGAATCGATGGTCATTCTTTCTAAACAACATACCAAGACTTGTCGCTTTTTTTTTTTTTTTTTTTTTTTTTTTTTTTTTTTTCTTACCTGGTCATCTTTGGAATACAAACAAATCACAAAGAAACCATTAACTTTGCACAAAACTTTTTCACAAAAAACATTCAAAGGCTTTGGGTCTAAGCTCAGTATTGTCTGTCCAAGGTCCTTCCTTGGACATTCATACTTTTGCCCCATTCAGGACTTTTGTAGCTTAACTATTGCACGACCAGATTATTTTCTTCTCCCTTTTCTAAGCACCATTTAAAAATTCAGCAGTATAAATTACTAATCACTAAGAATGACTTTTCAGTTATATTTTGTAATGATGAATAATATATCTGCTCAGATTTACCACCTTGGAGTCCCACCTGAAATAATTTATTTGAGTGTTAAAGCACATGACAGCCAGCTTGTGAGCAATATAGTAGCTATGAAAAGACTTAGGTCTCTTATTACCTGCCTGTTAATTCCAAACAATTGTTAATAAAAAATATGAGAGAAGTCTGCAATTTTGCTTTGATTTCACAATATAGAAATCCTGGACAAAAAGTATCTCTGAGCAAGACTCACAGTAGAACATAAACATTCAGAAGGACTTCACAGAATCTAGTTTTTTTCTAATAAACAAAGAATAGCCCTTTACCACGTCAGCTTACCGTTCATTTATTAGATCTGCTCTTACATTCTTCTCCGAAGAATTCATCTATGCCACCATCTTTATGAAAGGAACAGCAGACTCAAGGGAAAAGGAGGGCCACCAAAAAGCATATGTTCTTCAGTAAGCCATCAGATGGCACAGATTCACTTGTGCCTTTCACAGAATCACACACCGAATCACAGAATGGCCTGGGTTGGAAGGGACCTCAAGGATCGTGAATCTCCAACCCACCTGCCACAGGCAGCAGCTATCAATTTAATACTACAACAGGCTGCCCAGAGCCCCATCCAATCTGGCCCTGAACAACTCCAAGGACGGGGCATCCACAACCTCTCTGGGCAGCCTGGTCCAGCACCTCACCACTCTCTCTGTAAAGAACTTCCCCCTGACATCCAACCTAAATCTTCCCTCTTTCAACTTAAAACCATTTGCCCTTTTCCTGTTGTTATCTACCCTTTCAAAGAGTTGACTCCCCTCTTGTTTATAGGCTCCCTTTAGGTACTGAAAGGCTGCAATGGGGTCACCCCGCAGCCTTCTTTTCTCCAGGCTGAACAAGCCCAGCTCCCTCAAGGAAGCCCTTCCACAATACTGCTATACTAAAATCATCACAGTCACTGTTGTATCACATCCTGGGAAAGTGGGAAAACTTCTACTCCGTTGCTCCTTTGGAGACCCACCAAAAAAAGCCAGGTAGCAGAGGGAACATAATAAAATGTGCATCTCATGGGAGTACTTGATCTGACAGACTGCCTAATCATATTAAACGTACAGACTTTGTTGTGCAATGTGTCAGCCAATATCTTTGTTTATAATGAAATTACCGTAAGTTTTCCTGTGATAAAATCGCACCACAGAATTGATTTAAATAATCAATCACAAACTTACCTGGCAACAAGGAAGACATCAGATGAACAAAAGACTATGCGAGCTTCTCTAATCTGTCCTCTTTTCAGCTCAGCATACAGTGCAGAATAGCTGAAGTCTGCTGAACTCCCGCCAAAATTCACAGAACTTAAATACTGTCTTGCTTCAGACTCAGCGAAGCCATTTTTGCACACCTGAAACAGAAATTCACACAAAACAGCCATCATAAGCCAGAAAGCCAACAAACGTAGCCTGCATTCTAAGACAGGGAAAACCATAGGATGGTTTGAGCTAGAAGAGACCTGATGAGGCCATCTGGTCCAACTCCCCCGCAATGAACAGGGACCCCTACACCAGACCAGGTGCTCAGAGTACAGTCCTGCCTGACCTTACGTGCCTCAGAACCCAGCCAGCATTGCTCTGCTGCGGATATAGCAGCAGGATGACCACTTAGATCACAGTAAAATAACATCCGTGCTATGACTAACCTCTGAGACTTTCAGGAAACTACAGAGAGGCTTTTTCTCAGATGTAACTTAGTCCCTACTGACATTAAATAACAAAGAACCGAGCCGTGCACAACTCCTGGAATACCTACTTTTGCAGGGTTAAGAGGAAACAAGAAGGGATTAAACAAATGTATTGGAATGTGTCACATTTGCCCATAACGGAAGAGAAATTCGGGAGGGAGGAGACATCCACTACCTCCAGAGATCGTCGTGCATGCTAAACACAATCACGGCTGCCGGCAAACGGAGGTTGTCTCGTTCCCAGGGTCTATCCCGAAACCCGCTGCACTCCAGGACGGTTCTCAAACAAGTACTAAGAAACACAGCACGTAACCCTTCCCGCCCGCAGCCGTACGGTCCGCCATCTTATGGCCACAGCGCCGCCGAGCGGCGGGAAGGGGTTTCACGCCGCTGTATGTGAGAGTGGGTCTGCCAGTGGCTCTGCCGCTCCCTCATGGGCGTCAAGCCTGGCGTAGGCCTCGGGCAGGGTCTCATGCCTACCAGCGACTGTGCAGCACCCCCTCGCCTAGGTTTAAGCCGGCAGGCACGCTGTGCCTCGGCGCGTGGCTCTGGGACGGAGGGGTGGCATCAGGCAGCGCTGTGGCCGCGCCTCGTGCCATGCATGCAGGGTGCCTGCAGCTCCTGGGGCGGCGAATCAGCAATCGCTCCTCTCCTGAGGAGAAAGGCAGCGAGGTATGTGCTAGCAGAGGTACGCCTACCTTGTTGAGGTCCTACCTTGTTAGGAAACCTCTTCTGAGAGATTTGTGTGTTGTGTCTGCCTTGTTTCTGCTGAGCCTTGGTCTTTTTTAATTGTCCCTTTCTTTCCTTAGTTCCTCCTCCCCAGCCCCTCTTTTTTTTTTGACAGGAATTTGGGGTGAAACCCATCCCCTCATTCAAGCGGGCACCACAAAAAAAGAGTACAGCCTTCTCACAACAACGTGATGTAGCAGAAACTCACTTGCATAACAGGTTTACTTGCTACCTCAGATGTACAGGGGAAGTTAAATGCAATGGGTAAAGAAGCACTGGTGGCGAAGCTGCATTAGTGTTACCTTGTACAGACACCTGTGTGCCTTCACAGGTGCCCCTTGCCTCTGACTGGTGCCCATTTCTGCTCCATTTCAGGGCAGTACAGGGAAGGCTCAGAGCCTCATTGCTCTCTGTGTTCCCCTCTCTAAGGTATGCTGAGCTGTGTTCTAACACTGCTGAGAATCTCATGTCTCGTACTTAGGCATTCTGACTGCAAAATTGGTGGCAATCAGTGGGTTCCTTGCAAGGAGTCAGCAGAACATTGACATCTTAGTAAAACAACAATTCTATCCTTTCTTACATTTCTTGAGGCTATGATTTTCCTGTTATTTGTTCTTCATTTTATTCTTAATATCCATTGTATCATGCATTTTAATGCATATTTCAACAGTTGATTATATTGCATTCCCTGTGTTATATGATATGGCAACTGACTTTCATTCTTCTTCATGACATGCCTATGTTCTCTTAAGGTTTCTAAATAGATATTTTAGGCATATTATCTTTAAAAATATATTTTAAAATAAAACCATACACTTTCAGTTTTCTGAAGAAGCTGAAATCATGTTTTTGGTTTCCCATAAAGATTGCTAGCTGCTTTTACATCCACAAAGTTTCATAGCTGTGCCTTATATATCTATCGGCAGTTACATAGTAGGTGTATCTTGACAAAGTTAAAATTCTATACAATACAATAACAAAAGGAGTCTTTTATGTGATGCTACAGATTATTTTGCTCCTTTCTCCTAAAAATTTGGCGGTAATCTGGGATGTGACTCAGACATTTCAGCTATGTTAGGCAGTCTGCTTTGAGCTGTACATATGTCAATTCTCACATTAAGAATACTTTCTGTGCTTAGTGCACAAGAATGCCAAAGGGAAAAGAATCTACAAGGAAAGAATGCATTTGTTGTTTCTGAATCAACCAGTTTCTTTCCTCCTACTTTCAGTAATCACTCTGTAGCTACTCTTACTTCTCTGAAATCTTTATGGTCTTTTATGGTCACAGGTAGAATAACATTACATTTATAAGTGAAAATAATATGTTGTAAGTATAGATGGTTCAAATTAGAAAAATCTAGGCAAACTTTTCAGTGCACAAACACTTGTATCATTGACACTTCAAGAAAAATCTTGCAATATTTTACAGTGTTATAAATAAATTAAGTTTTGCTTCTTCTATGCCACTAGAGACACTCTAAGCTATTTGTACCATTATTGTAAAATAGGTATGCTAATAAACGTTAAAGGGAAGTTGTTGGAGTCATTCTCACTAGCTGTACTGCTGCAGTATTTTTAAATTCCCAGTCGAGCATATGTTTACACATCACTGTATTGCATGTAACGTACATATGCAACAACCATGTAGACAAATTGAAAATGAGCAGTCAGCATTTTATCTGTAAATGCTTTCTGGCAATGCTCCTGTCTCTTGAGGGACTGTTTTTTGCAGAAAGGATTGCTCCCTGTGATACTAACCCTGGGCAACTGGGGCAGTGGTAGTTGCTTATTTCACTGAAACTTGTTTGACGTTCTATTTCTTCAGAATCCTCCATATCTACCTATGCTTGTGACATCATTGCCTGCTGTTAGCAGACTAGTGCTTTTTCTTACTGGAAAAGCTGCTTTGTCCTTGAGTTCTGCAAAGGTTGAGAATCATTGTCATTTTAGCCCTGTTAATAGATCTATTCATTTTGACAAAAGCTTAGATAATTATCAGGCGTCACACAAACTGAATCCATACCGAGCAAACAGATAGACAGAGGCTGCCATTGTGGATGACTTGTGTTACCTTCAGCCTTGTGCCTAAAAACGTCCTTGAGGTGTGGTCTTGACTCAGCCTGAGCACAATGCACATGCTGACAGATCAGAGCCTTGTAAAACAATCACTAGTAGCTAAAGTAAATCTTCATCAAAAATGTACTCTGTAATGAAACAATCGCAATATAAGCAATCAAGGCGTTCAGTTTGGTAGCCATTTGAAGGCTATGGGAATACAGTACAAAAACTAGGAGTTTTGGTTGAAACATTTCTGTAAAAATCTTGTAATACTTTGAGTAAAAGCGAATCAGTAGCAAAGGATGAGTCTACTCTTTTCTGCCTCCCTTTGTTTTTTCCCTTTTTCCCCACTCTCCACTGGGTGATGCCTTTTTCTATTTTCCAATTCTGTTTCATTAAGAACATCCACTTTTGGAGGGCATGGATTATTGATTCTTAGCTGCCAGCTCAGCAAACTTCTTGAGAGTTTGTTAAACTCTAAACTCACCAATAGCTCTGTTGAAACAACTGGGATTACTTGTGTCTGTAATGTCTGATTACACTTAATACCCAATTCCCTTCCACATACTTATTCAAAAACATAGTGTGAGAACATATACATTTCAGAATAAACTAAACGCTTGCTTTGGCATTAGTGTTACCCTAACAGCTAAGAATTCTACTCACACAGATCAGGATTTTCCTGTCGTAGGCACTATGCTCTATGTCAGTTCTTTGAAATGCTGCCATACATGGTTTGCCAAACTGCATTAGAGTTTTATTTTGCTTACATCTCTCTTCTTTGTCCTATTATTATTTATCTAGGTATTTACTAAGCCATGGTGGTACTTGTAGTAGAATGGCATACAATTATGCTCTGCTGTGCTGTGCAAACACAAAACTTGAGAATTCTTGGAGATAAAATGTAATATAAAGACACGGAAGAGGAAAAACAGTAATAGGCATCTAAGGTTACATATGCTATTTATGAAGCTTAAAGAAAACAGCCAAATACCTGAAACTGAGATTTTGCTACTTATTTCTGTAGCAGAGCAACCATTGCTCTGCTAGTTTTAGGACACTGGTCCCAGTGTTCATACAGTGGTTATCAAACGGCTGGGAGATTAGAGCTGGCTAGAGGTACAAACTTTTCTTAAAGTCCAGAGAGCAATGTCATTTAAAGGAGATGCTGAGATACAAGGATGTCCGCACACCACCTCCAAGACAAATAAAATTCAATAGCATGACGTCCTTTCCATGGCTTGCCCAGAACAGCACAGAATACCAAGGTGTTTAACTCTTTCCATTACAAAGGCCAGTAAGTATCTTTAGTTGTGTTTAATTTATTCAGAGTACAAACAGCTTTTATTATTATCCCATTCATTTTTTCCCCACTTCCCCATGGTCATTCTCATCTTTCTCACTTACAAGTACATTTATCTCTAGCAATTTTCTGCATTGTCTGCTCACTTGTTCTTCCTAGGCATTCTCCCTTTATGTTTCCCCTGGTCCTACTTCCTCTCCCCTCTCTTCCTATCAGTGCTTCCAATTTTCATCTGCCATTGTCTTCTATAAGAAGTAATCACTCTTGTAGCCCAGCGCTGATGGCAGCAGCAGCAAAAGGCAAAGGATAAGGAACTGCGAAGATGAAGCTCATCTGCAGTTATCTACTACAAAACCTCCCGAAGAAAGCGAAATGGGTCAGTCTTCAAGGTCTTCTAACTCAGATTTTGAATCTTCTTAGTTTCTGTATTGACTGTAAATATGATCTACATCCCCTTTTAAGTTAAAAGTAGTAACAAAGCAAGCAAACAAACAACAAAAGGAAAAAATCATACAGATGGTCAACCCAAAGTCATCACGTTAGCACCCCCTCACTCACATGGTTTTGAAGTACAGGGGGCATTCACCAGAATCAATTGCTTTGTGCTTGCTCACTTCTTTCCTTGACATCCATTGTTGGCCACTGCCACAGATTTTGTATTGGGTTGGATGAACATTTCCTCCCATCTCAACTACTGTGTTTATTCTTATGGTAAATGAAGAGGGTGAAAGTAGTTCTCACGATGACTAAAACTAGCAACCACTTAGCTGTGGTCCTTACATTAGTTCTGGGAAGAAAATAGAAAAGGCCCAACATATTAGCAAACCAAATAAAGATGGTCTTAGGTATTTATCAGGAAGGTTTCCTAGTATCCAGTTTACTTTTCTACATAATTATAGAAAGGTTAAGAGTTTGAGTTGGCATTCAGTAAATGCTTTATCACACAATAGAAATATTAAGATCTCCTTGAGCTGAAAAAAGTTGTACCCTGGAATGGCAACAGAAGTTACACTAACGACTTGAATACTGATAAATTCTACTGAGGTAGTTCTTTGCTTTGCAAATGTAGTTGTCAAGATATCCTTTTTTAAACAGAAGCAAGATCTTCCCAAATTCCCATATGCAGCAACACCTTGGTGTTTTAAAACAATATGTCAAGCAATTTGTTCTCTCGACTCATTGTGAACAAGTGGATCATTTTGACTGCAGTATTTTCATCTTTGAAAAATATCTGATACAAGTAGATCATAAGTCTGTAAAATGTCAACTAAATGATTAAAAGGCTGACAAAGTTGTAGCAATTGGAAAAAATTATGTTGGCCTGGAAAAATGTTGTTTTAATCACATTTGACAGTAAATCTTTCATATGAAGGATACAGGAACAGATCAAAACTGGTCAGTTATGCTCTAGCTAATGTATAACTAATAGTTCAGGAGTTCATATCAGTAGATATGCAGTCATTCAGGTTCAAAGAGTTGCCACAGGACTTAGGATGGGAAGCATTTTGCCTGTTTAGCATGCCCGTCTGTAAAAGGATATGATCATTAGCAAAGTATACGTAATTAAAGAATTAATAAAATTTGTGTGAGCTCCCATGGAAGTTTCTTCATGTGAGGCATGAGTAATGTTCATTATAGTTCCAATTCTTACCAAACTGTGAAGAATAGAGGATACATAAAGTCAATCACAGTGAATACAAATGCTAATTCTTACAATTTAGCAAACTAATTTAAGAAAGGTAGTCATTTGTACAGATCTTTGTCATCACTTTAATTATCTGGATCTCTAAACCACAGAAGAGATACCTAAACACAGTTCTTTTCCCAAAGTATTCTTTGTTAAATCAATTTACAACATGCTCCTGCCTCAGCCTGCAGGAACAGCTTTTCCACATAAGCACTCAGAGACAGTTGAATGAAGAAAGGTCTAAGGAAAATGATTTTTAAGATAAATTTTAGTTCAAAACTGACTGAATTACAGGTATAAGTGTTCTTACATTCTTTTGTCTTTGCAAGCAAATATTAGTTAAATTAGTGACTGATTAGCAGATACGCCCAAAAGAACAACCATGAAAGCTTCCTGACACTCTTTGGTTTTGAAATATAATACGCCAAATATTCTACTCCATTCAGAAGTTTACATGGTTCTGATCCATATATATTCCAGCAAATAATTCCCAGGTGTCTTCTTGGGGGAAGCTAATGCCTCTGATATACAGAATGAGCTCGTTCAATTGTTTCATGAGTGGTCGAACCGGAAACTCTTTCCCAAAGCCCTGCTGTACTTGTCCTGCTGCGTGCAGGATGTTGCTTCTATTCAGAGCAAAATAGCACAAAATGGAAAAACCCACTAGATTATCCCGTGTATTTATACTGCATGCACTGTGATTGAGACCACCAGAGTCTTCTCAATTAAGGTGTGTCTGGTGTTAACCTAACAATACGTTTTCTTATGTACAAGAGTCCCAAAAGATTCCCTCAAAGTTGATATGCTTATAGTCAAACTGAATACAAGAGCTAATGTATTTTTTTATATTTTCTGATAACATATATTTCAACATCAAGATTCTTACTGTGAATTACATGCTTCATGCTCAGACGTAGGCAGGAGTATCCAGCTTTTGCATGCTAAGAATCTTAGATGAGTTGCAAGTGGTATCAAGTGTAGTTCAACTGCTTTACCTATCCCATCAAAGTTGGACTGGGAGAGTTGTGCAGGTTGTCTAAAGCATTCCTCTTGATCTTAAGCCGTACATATTGATTTAAATACAACAATTTGAATTTATTGGTGAACAATTAATTAGCTCAGCATGTGAAATGAGCTACATCATCATAGGATGACATTGGTAAGGGATGCCCTAAGAAACACATAACAAAAATACAGGCATCCTTTTTTCAGTTTGATGGGAAATTTCAAGGACTTCTATGTGTGATGCTATTAATAAGCTACTTTAAATATTTACTTATCGCTGATATGAAAAAAAATAGAGTTAACAGGTTTTGAGTAGTTTCTCAAGCTACAGTAAGCTGCAGCTAGGAACTGTTATAATCAGAGTTGGAATATGTATCTTTATGGAACACAAAAGTATTTCTGCTTCTCCAATTCCTTTCCCACTATTTCCTGTTCTCTTACCCACATATAATGCTCCTCTCCACATTCCCCTTTCTGAAGGACAGGACAGGTTTCTGCAACCAGAAACAGTGCTGGAGGGGACAAGAGACTTCTTCTAGGAGTGAACGGCAGCCTTACATCCACAGATTTTTTTTTCTATGAAAGGTCAGAAAGTATGAGATATTTATGTATGGAGGGACTTATGCTGAAATAGGCAGTGAGTTCTGGAGTACTAATAGCAGTGCTATTAGTAGTAGTAAGGGTTGAGTTAGAAAGGAAGTTGGAAGGCTGTTTGGTAGGACAAGGGATGAACACAAACAGCTTAGAGCTGGTGAGGAGGTTGTATGCTGCCTGCAGATAACAGGCATAGGAGTGAGGGCAGGAGAATGCAGCTGAAATGTGTGGGAAAAAGTGGTGGATGAAAAACTGGACATGAGCAGGCAGCGCACGCTTGCAGACCAGAAGACCAACAAGACCCCACTTTAGCACCCACAACAAAACTATCTATGTTATGCTTTTATTTACTAATCAGGCACTTCCAGCAGTTAGTCTGTATAAGACTTTGTGTAGCTTATAAGTTGGTCTCCTACTGTGTATGAGCAGTAGAGAAGGAAACGGAGCAGAAGAGTCATGAACTAAAAAGAGAGTTGATGAATTGCTGTTTGTCTGCTCAGGATGGATACCAGTATCCATATGATGGGTAACTTCCATCAATCAGAAGAATACTGCAGACAAGGAGACAAGGGATGGTAAGCTTAACTCCTTATGCAGCAGTTCAGCAGAGCTTCTAAACTTAGTCAGCACTGTAGGAGGGAGTCAAATTTATAGCCTAGTCCTTGCATACAGTCTACAAACTGAACTTAGAGTTACCTATCAATATCAGCATAAATTTGGTCTGCCACCTGTTGAGCTATGCACAGCACTGATGAGCACACTCATATCTGAACAGCTTTTCGTGAAGCAGATGCTAAAAAGGCAGCACTGAGAAAGCCTCACTATAGAAGGAAATATACATGAAAATGCATTCAATGACAGATTCTGAAATAGACAGGAGTTGTAAATGAAAAGTGGAGAGTGCTTTGGAAAAAAATTGTGAAAAAGAAAGGCTATGTGCAATACTGTGGCATCAGAAATAGTTATGCTAAAGCTTGTAAAGAAAAACAGAGAAATAAACTTTATCTAAGTCACCATCAGTAATTCGGAAGATCAGATGTGGCTCACTTGAGTTATAGAATCATAGAATGGTTTGGATTGAAAGGGGCATTTAAGACCATCGTGTTCCAAACCCCTGCTAGAGAGAGGCAGAGATACCTCTCTCTAGACTAGGTTGCTCAAAGCTCCATCCAGCCTGGCCTTGAATGCCTCCAGGAAGTGAGCATTCCACAGCCTTTCTGGGCAACCTGTTCCAGTGTCTCTCCACCCTCATAGCAGAGAATTTCTTCTTAGTATCTAGCCTTTATCTACCCTCTTGGAGTTTAAAACCGTTTCCCCTTGTCCTGACACTACCTGCACTTGTAAAAAGTCCCTCTTCAGCTTTCCTGCAAGCCCTCTTAAGGTACTGGAGGGTCACTATAAGGGCTCCTTGGAGCCCTCTCTTCTCCTGGCTGAGTTATTAGTAACCCATGGAATAAACATTTAATGAAATGAAGAAAAGGTACACAGACAAGGCAAAAGCTCAGTAACATATAGGAAAGTGAATGCTGAACAGGTAACAAAACATCAGTGATGCTGTTGTCCAGGAAGACATCCTCAGCACTATGCAAAAGAGGAAAGTAAAACAACAATCCAGACATTGGGCTATGAACAATGCTGCTATAATACTGTGAGAACCAAGTACATCACAAGCAAATACTGATGGGGGAAAATCTGCCAGCGGAGTTTTTGGATAGACTGTACAATAGAAGAGTTATGCTTTCAGCTGAATTAAGGGCACGAAGAACCTAGGAACTTTCAACCTGATAAAAAATTGTTCACTAGATACATACATGCATTTACCCACCTTAAAAAAATTGCACCCAACGATCAAAAATACTGAGATAGATGGCACAGCACTTTTGTGTCAGCAAAGTTATTAACGTTTTATTGATATTTTTTGAAGCATGAGGATTAGGTAAGAAAAAAATGATTCTGTTAGTCCAGCTGATGTCTCTCAACATTAAAACCCAGGGGAATGAGTAAGAAGCCATTGAGCTCACATGGGGCGTAGACTGGCTGCTCGGACGTCAAACAAGCTGTGTACTTAAGAAGAGCTGTTGCACTTAGAA